CAAATCGTCACTTCCTGTCTTTCATAATGGCGAGCGAGGTCTGACTAGCGTGTTTAGTCCGACCCGATACGGGCCAATTCTTTCGCAAAATTAGAGAGCAGGGGACCAAGTTTTGAGCTATATTTGGGTATGGAGACTGTAATTTGAAATTGTACGAGACGTCTATATTCGTACAGTGAATAGAAATTGTCAATGACAAAACATACTAGTTCTATTGAACAATTTTAGAACTATATATTTTTTTATTTTATTGTACCGAGTCTCTTTTACTTTCAGATATATACGTCGTTCTAAATGGGCTTTTCAGAAATAAGTATACTTAAAATTTTATGGTGAACATCTGTATGATTAAAGTAAAAAAGTGAACATCGATTGATGATTAATTTACGGAAGCACAATCAAAGGTCAAAAGAAAATAATCTGTGCAATAATAGACCTTTCTTTATGGAGGCGTTGCTTAGTAGGCTCCTTTCTTTGTAAATACTTTCCCTTAAGGAAGTACTTTTATTCTTTTAATCCAATGCAGCTCCGACGTTTCCTTTCACAGGGGAGGAGAATTACTTCAAATTATGCCGCCTTCTAGTGAGTGTTGGTTCTCAGGCCCTGAGAGAAACATTTGACAAAATTCATTCTCCAGAAGACCTTGAAACAGTGTTGGCAACACCGCCAGTTCTTCGTAAACTGGAACCACTTCGAAAGAAGAAAATCTTGAAACAATCGCAATGGAGGCAACTGTATCCTGATGACACAACTTCAGTTTCATCTGAGAACTTTGATATCACCTTGCTGACGGTACTGCTCAGAACGATTTGTGGCCTAACTCCTCCAGCCACTGGATGGGATGAGCTTCCTTCGCCTACAAATTTGTCTCGGGAGGCTGATATCGCTCGTATCAAATACTACAGAAACACAGTGTATGCTCACGTTACTCAAGCGTCGGTTGACGATGCGACATTTGATAATCACTGGATGCACATCCGCAATACGTTGGTAAGACTCGGAGGGGCGCATTATGAGGCGAAAATCGATTATCTCAAGAATGACTCATTGTGGCCGACGTCCGGTAGGTAGAATAAGCCCCTTATGTCTTCAGGCGACCTTTGAAAGTATGAAGGGATTGATGATGTATAGGAAGGTTAACAACACATGTAACCCTGTCTTGACCGGGTTTTGTTTATTCCCTAAAACTGATAGCGTGCGAATACAGCCGCCCCTCATCGCTCTTCATCCCCCTACGGACGTTTCGTCTCGTCTCGGTGGGAGATGAAAAGCGACTTCATGCGTAGGCTAGCGAAATAAGAAAACAGGCGGTGTTGAAATCAAGTTTCAAGTCATTTCATCCTATCTGTGGAGATATTTAGGATCAATTCTCTATTCCGTAATGGCATATTTTTACTTTTATCAGCTGTTCGGTACCATTTGACATCGCTCGCTTTCGTTCACTTCGGCAAGCCCCAGCATTCAAAAAGGCGGGCAAACCGATAAGTTTTTCTTTTCACTGGTGAAAAATTTCGTATGCAGCCTGTGATTGGTCATACGGTATTTTTCACTAGTGAGAGAAAATCGTATGACCAATCAGATTAATTCTAGTTTTTGGAAGACCATTTTTATTTGACAGTTTTTTAGTGCAAATCTCCTTACTCATGTACTAAATACATCTTCAATTCAGTTGACTGTTTTCGTATTTGCCGCCAGCCAATTTTTAGGGGGAAACCACATTTTGACTAAATCCTTCTTTTTGAACCGTTTTTCGGCTAGTTAGCATCGGAATAACCCAAAAAAGATTTTCAACGCTAAAAACGAAATTTTCTGCTAATTGGATCTTATTAAGTAGCGAATTTTTTTTGCAAAGCTATTTCGGTTTTTTTCTCGCTATCTACCTTTTCCCTCTCCCTTTTTTCCTTTTCTCTCTATAGCCAGTTTTGTTGCCCACTTTATAGTCTTTCTTTTACATGAAATTTTGGCCAGCCTTCTTTCCAGCAAAGGGACAAATTTAATTTGTAAAGAGTATTAGGTAAATAGCAGAATTAGCAGTGGATTTTTTCCCCAAATGTTGCTTGTTTCTTTGTCTTTAACTCTGTCAGGAGTGGTCAAAGTTTTCTAAATGCGTTGACAGTGGAATGATCTATCCACGCTAATTTTACTAATTGCCATCTTGATAGCTAAGTAGAAAGCTTTATGGGTCCAGGAATAATAACATGCATGGGTTCATATGGACCAAAACGGACCAAAGCGGACGTTCAAGAGTTAAGAATACTAGTGCATGATACATCGATTATTACCTAAACACGGATACCAAGTTCGTCTTCGATTCTCGGCTTTAGCGTAGTATTACTGATTATATATGTGGATAAAACTAGATGGATCTTCTTTGCCGTACCCTGAAAAATTCGTTTAGGGGCGTTTAATACAAGGCCACCAACCATTCTCCAAACGTCCCAGTTGTTAAGACCCCGTTGAAGAAATGCTGTGTCATTTACTGTTACGGAGCTGTAGTTAAATGAAGAAGGCGGCGGCTAAGAGAACGTCAAAAAAGCAATAGGTTTAATTAGGAAAACAACAACTTTGCACGTGCAGCACACTTTTTTGTTGCATTCATTTGCCTTCACTCCACGAGCTACGATTCGAGCTACGACTTGAAATTCCCTTACTTGACGTTTTCTGAGGATGTAAACACACTCATTCTACTACTTGGCCATTTAAAACAATAAAAAAATCAGTCATAGCCCAATTAAAAGCCTTTATCTGACGCCAGGCGTTAAGGTGGTGGTCCCTAGAAGCATTTCAACGAGTGAAAATTTGAAATCTGACTCCGTGATGTTCCAAACCGGTGCCATTTCAGTTTAGAAATGTTTAAGTTGAGTGAAATGCAGCCAAAAAGTGCCTGGTTAAGGCCTACATAACAAATTAAATAGTAAGCAAAACACTACTTTTTTCGCGGTCCGTTAAATGTCAGGATTTTACATGGAATATATATCAAACTGAGTGAAACATAGTAAACAAATTACCATCTTCTTATCTGCAAAAAACGTCCTATGTGGTTCAAACAGGAGTACCCAACGGAGCCGCTCGACAAAATACCCGCTCTTCAGGCAGAATTTGAGCTAGCTGGGAAAAAAAACCTTGGCAAATTAGCTGGCTGGGAAATCTGAATGAGCGCCTCGCTAGCTAAAAATATGAAAAATTCATGCCGGTTCTGGCTGGATAAAAAGGTACATTTTTTCTCCTGGCAATCGCACTGTAATTTTTTATATGAATATTAGAACGAGCGAAGCAATTAAGTGCGCGTGAAAATCACCCCACGCGGGCTGTAGAAATGACACCTTTTGCCTGTAAAAACGGAAATTTGTTTGGGTGTGTAACCAAAACGTCCTGCTGTGAATACCTTGTAAAAGATACACGTAATGCGAAAATGACACAGTTGAGTCAAGCACCGCTCACCGCTTTGTCTTTTATAGTCGTTTTGCTGTCGATCCTTTATAGAAAACACTTTTGTGTGTTCGTGTTTTAATATGCCTGTCTACATATCAACTGCTGGCCTACGTCCTTTTAAACCTGATGTTAAGGCGGCCAAAAGGTAAGCAAAATGGTTGTGTTTCTTTGTCAGGTTGCCGTGCAAGTGTATCCAATTAAGAACATTCGCTAGTGCACATAAATGCCATCAAATATTGAGACGATTGAATACAAAAACTCTCACCAATAAATAATACACTCTGGTCTTTTAGCGGAGTGAACTCAGACCTGATTTCATTCGGTATGCTTGTTTGTAATGTCGTCCAGGTTTGCGCGCTCTGGAATATTTCCGTTGGAACTAATTTCTCTTTTGTTATGTGCTCACCGGGACGGGAAACCTCCTCGATCTATAGTCATTTGGAAGGCCTTTAGAAAATGCACAGGTATCTGTTAGGATCGGAAAAGGTAGGAAGATTTTTCGTTTGTTCTACCCGTATATTGACGTATTTCGCATCCGTTATAACTGTTGTTTTTAAAAAAGGCAACGTCCAAGTGTGAATTGTAGCATAGCAGGGTAAATCCCGAACGACTATCTTTCTTTGACTTTCATTCCAGTATCTGTTTTGACGCTGAGGCATTTCTTTTAAAGCTTTTTATCGTATAAATTGTAAGAGCTCTGTTAGCAAATTTATTCATATCTTCGAACACAGTGACTCAGATTACACTTTTTTGGTGATGTTTCGCGGATCTAGGACCTCAAATTTGACAGCGGGCGTTACCGGCCATGGTTACGTTGGAGAGGCTCTTTGGCCCATGTGGAGAAAAAGAATAAAAAATAGTTTACAATTTTCTTGCCAAAAAATGAAAGAAAATCACAAATGTGAACAGCATTTACACATTTTCCTAAAATTGCCGCAAGCAAGGGTTTAAACTGGACTATTGAATAAACAACTTAATAGTATGTTGTTATTTTTCAACCATTTGTCTTGAAGAACAGGATATTTTTCTTTGGAATTTTTATTTTCTTCTGGTTGTCATGAAGTTATTTCTTTTTACAAAATAATTGCCCTTACAATTCAACCGTAGCCTGCGCAAAAGGCGTCATTAAGGTGCTTAGGGTTGTTTAGAGGCGCGAGCGCCAAGCGCGAGATACGCAGTAGGATGCAGTTACGTCACGTTTGCCGTCTTCAACTCGATTTTTCAACGTACAGAGGAAGGTTTTACCTAAGCTTATCTTATTGCCAAAAACTACAAGGATTTTTCTGTAGCTGTATTAAAAACTGAAGTACTGTTGCTGTTCGCAAATTTAATATGACGGTCGCTAAAGGTATTGTTGCATGTATTTTACTTTGGTGGGTTTCTCTGTACCCAAAGCAAAAAACGCTTGCCTTCCTTGGTGTGATCTTACTTACATTCTTTTCAACTGCGCTTCGATTCTATACCTTATAGACATCACACGACCGTCGCATGCACGACATAAGGTTACATGCCTTTATAGGTGATTGACTGACTGCAAAACAAAACATTCCTGACTTATATACGACTATTGGCTTTTGCTGCGAAACTTTGCACCAGTTCTGGTGTGAAACTTTTACGGTGATTGCCTGACTGACTACCTACGACTACTGGCTTTTGCTGTGAAACTTTTCACCAGTTCTGGTGTGAAACTTTTACGGTGATTGCCTGACTGACTACCTACGACTACTGGCTTTTGCTGCGAAACTTTGCACCAGTTCTGGTGTGAAACGTTTACGGTGATTGCCAGACTGACTACCTACGATTACCGGCTTTTGCTGCGAAACTTTGCACCAGTTCTGGTGTGAAACTTTACCGGTGATTGCCTGACTGACTACCTACGACTACTGGCTTTTGCTGCGAAACTTTGCACCAGTTCTGGTGTGAAACGTTTACGGTGATTGCCAGACTGACTACCTACGATTACCGGCTTTTGCTGTGAAACTTTGCACCAGTTCTGGTGTGAAACTTTTACGGTGATTGCCTGACTGACCACGTACGACTACTGTCTTTTGCTGCGAAACTTTGCATCAGTTCTGGTGTGAAACGTTTACGGTGATTGCCTGACTGACTACCTACGATTACTGGCTTTTGCTGCGAAACTTTGCACCAGTTCTGGTGTGAAACTTTAACGGTGATTGCCTGACTGACTACCTACGACTACTGGCTTTTGCTGCGAAACTTTGCACCAGTTCTGGTGTGACACTTTTACGGTGATTGCCTGACTGACTACCTACGACTACTGGCTTTTGCTGCGAAACTTTGCACCAGTTCTGGTGTGAAACTTTAACGGTGATTGCCTGACGGACTACCTACGACTACTGGCTTTTGCTGCGAAACTTTGCACCAGTTCTGGTGTGAAACGTTTACGGTGATTGCCTGACTGACTACCTACGACTACTGGCTTTTGCTGCGAAACTTTGCACCAGTTCTGGTGTGAAACGTTTACGGTGATTGTCAGACTGACTACCTACGACTACTGGCTTTTGCTGCGAAAATTTGCACCAGTTCTGGTGTGAAACTTTAACGGTGATTGCCTGACTGACTACCTACGACTACTGGCTTTTGCTGCGAAACTTTGCACCAGTTTTGGTGTGAAACTTTTACGGTGATTGCCTGACTGACTACTTACGACTACTGGCGATTGTGATTGTCTGACGACATACCATTATGGCCTCTTGGCTACAGAAAAAATGAGTGAGTAAGATCAAACTCAGGATGACAAGCTCTTACTAGTGAAGAAAAAGCTACTACAAGAACACGTTATCAGTCTGGCTTTATAAAGTAAACTGTTGCCACAGCATATTTGAAAACATGGACAGTATTGTTTTTTATACCGCAACAGAAAGGTCCTTGTTTGCTCTCAGGCGTTTACGCAAATTACGAAAGAGGAAACCATCCCCCCCACCACGTTGAAACTCGAGTTAAAGACCGCAAAAGTTACCTTACTTTTTAGGTGGTTTTCAGCCGTAGCGGTTAGAAGTTTCCGACAGAAAGCTTGTTTACACGAAACTTTCTGTCAGTTCTGGTGTAAACCTTTTGCGAAGTAACAGTAGTACGGCATACAATGCTTGCGATAAACATGTGTCTACACTGAATTTGGGGTGATTTTGGAGAGGAGACCACACGTAGATCGAGCTTACTTGTTATGTTGTTTATTGTTAAACTTTGATTTTGCCTCAGTGGATAATCGTTGCAAAGTATGCATTGGTCGTAAGGCTTTGCGGTGATCACTTTTTTTACGCGTCATTGTGTTATGGACAAAGTTCGGGATCTTCCTTTTTATATTTTACCTGCAAAAACTCAAGACTACTCCTCAAGTCCACATTCCAAGACTGTAAGTACCGCTGAATGTCTTTAGTTGTTATGTTACTATTATAGAATTCTTAGGGATAAAGAATAATATATACTAAACAAATACACTGATCTTTTCCCTATATCTAAAAAAAAAACCGACAACTAGATAAAAGGTTGAAACAGGTCGGGCCTCGCCAAGAATCAGATCTGCGCGAGTTTTCACATGCGAGATATTCGGAAAAACGCTATACCCAAATTTATAAAGCTTTGTATGGAGACGCCATGTTTGTGTCCCTTTGAGGGGCACAAATACGGCCGCCGGAAACTAACAGAAACATCTGTTTTTGAGTTTTCCTACTAATGCGTGAATTCATCGCTTGAAAAACTCATAAAGGAGTAAAGTGATATCTATTCTGAGACAAGGAATGTTAAGATAGCAAAATCTCCCAAAATTGGTAATGTTTTTAACCCACATAAGAGCCTTCCCGACCGCCAGCCAAATGCCCCGTCACGCAAAAGCCTAGAAATTCAAACGTCCTCTATCGCAAAACGAAGAACCCTTTGGAACCAAAACTTTGTTTAAATAAAGGTGTTTAGGTGCCTCATGAAACTCAGAAACTCAGAAGAATCGATAGTTTCTTAGTTTGAATTTTGGTTAAGTCATGTGAAAACACAGGGTCCAGAGGAGTTTCGTATGAATAAATGAATTACATACCTGTCGCTTAGCACGATTAATTAGCCCAATGGGATCTTTATAAATCTACTGTAAACGATTTCTTCGCTTCTTATCTGACCCAGATCGACTTTTGAAAATCAATAACCGCAAGCCATATCCTCGCTGGCGCACGGCACGTCGCCCGAAGGGTGATCGAAGGTCGTCGCCCGGAGGGCGACCCAGGCACGAAGTGCCGAGTAAAAGAAAGGACAAGGGAGGAAACTTGTACCACGTGACTTCGTTCTATGTGAACCGCAGCACTCGGTGACGGAAGTCGGAATGAGACCGGAAACGCAAAAGCAACAGACCGCTGCTAATTCGAGAATCCAAACATCAGCTACGGAGAGAGTTTTAAAGATCTCAGAGATCTATGCGAAAACAACAGAGTTTTAATTGAAGTGAAGATCTTTCAAGACTAGACATTTGTTGTACGTTTGGCCCGCTCATAACTTGCTTGTGCTACCGCTGGCTGGCAAACACCGAATTCCGTTTCACGCTGGCTGGCATTGCGTAATTTATATATTTTTTTAACCTTGCTGGCTGGCAAAAAACCGTCAAACATGATTGCTGGCTGGGATTTTTATTTTTTGAAAGTCTTGCTGGCTAGCAGTGAAGAGCGGTATTTTTTTCCCAGGACAGTTAAATATTAACATAGGTTGACGTAAAAGCACTCTGCTAGCGTTTACGACATTGTGTAATCAATTTTGCGAAAAAAGTTCGTTGGGTACTCCTGTTCAAAGCCAAGAGTCCGCTGAAACTAGACCCAGATCCAATTTCCTGAGTCGAGAATTGGTTTTTCAAGGCACAATCAGCTAAGCTTAACACCGACGAAACATTTTATGGCTGGCACATAGTCTTTCGGTGCAACAGCTCAACTACGCGACCACATACCTGAGTTCTGCCTGTCAACATCGTTCGGAAATCACACAATCGCACAATTTCGCGGCACTGATACGACTATCCACAACCACGCATAATCTTCTCACGTTTAACACAAGAGAAATATCATCAAATAACTCGGAAAAACTCAGCTTACTGGCAGGTAAACACCTCTCTTGACTTTCCTTTTACACTCTTGTTATTGAAGTTCCCGGGTTTACAGTCACACGGTCTTGGACTGGGTCAGATTTCACCTGCAATTTTGCTCTCACCCAATGTATTTGACCAGTAGAAGCCTGTTCCCGAGCCCAAAGACTTAGTGGTCTCCTTAGAAAAGCGAACAGTATCGTACCTTTCTGTCTCAGCCCAGATCAGGGTGATTAATCGGTTGCGCCAAATTAGACGAGAATACAGTACGATATTGGACGATGTAGACTCTACGAATCGCATTAACCTTGTCCCATGTCAGAGATTTACATGATGCTCTCCAAGAAACTTTTCTCAAGGTGACCAATAACGAAATATAAACTGTTAAACGGCACCGAAACCAGCTTTAGGCGCGCACTGATTTCAAATAACAGTCACCTTCTCTAGAGAATTCTGGGTAAAACACCCTGTAGGGAGGGAGGGGAATATGCAAGAGCGCGAATTCGCAAAATTTCCTCTACAGCCACTTCTACACAACTCCTTAACCACAAAACAACCAAAAAACGACACAAACAAACAACACAGTAAAGTAGCTAAGACAGGGGAAGTTGAGGGAAATTACGAACGTTTGCTAAACCAGTTTTCATAAATCCGGGTAGATATATATATGTCTGGATTTGATAAAAGGTACCTCCAGAAATTTTTAGCAACAGTCTCATTTGAGGCTTGTTCAGTACTTGACCATTTTTTTTCTTTTTTTAATGATCTTTTCAGTACAAAAAATCCCCTTAAAAGCTGCAGTAGATCAAAAAACATGTGTTTAATATGCTGTTTTCATCTCCCCCCGCAGCTCTCCCCCACCTATCATTTCCCATAATTCTCTACACTATGACATTTGAAATCAGCGCGCGCGGTAGAAGTTGTTTTCCGTGGTCGGTTAATTTCTAGGTTTCTTTTTGGCCGCCTGCAGCAACATTTTCCGGAAGACATCATTAAGCCTTATGAAGGAACAAGTCTCACGATTGGCAAAGTCTGCCGTCGTCCAATAGGTGACCGTATTTCGTCTCATTTTGGCTAAACGGGTGAAACACTGATCTCGGGCTTGAGACGAAAAGGCATCATATTGCGAGCTTTGATGTGGGCGGTGACGAGTCTCTGGCCTCAAAAAGTAGCTTTTAGGAGCCAAAACTATTCGGCGAGAGCAAAATTGATGCTGATTTCTGACCTGGCCAGAGACAACAGGGGTCTTTTTTGCATGAGCATGCGCGACCGCTGAACAAGCGGATGTGCATGGAGGCCACAGGGTTTGCCTTCATCTAAATGGCGCGTCTCAAAGCTATCATAGCGATTATTTTGCTCGTTGGTCTTGGCGAATGTGCTCGTGATTTAGCAAAATTTATAGTTTGCAAAAAAACTCTAACATGGCCTTAACAAAAGCGAAGTAGACCGGCTTTAACATACACGAACTACTATCAAATTTCATCTCCCCACTTGACCTGGACAACAGCGCGCGTATATGTAGTGCCTGGAGGATTGCGATGACCTCATCAAAGTCTAAATAAAGTGCAGAAACGTTTGTTGATGCAAGTAAACACTTTCAATTTTCTTTGTTTTGAAATGGGAAAGGAAGAGAAATATTAAAAAAAAAAAATAGCAAATTTCAGCGAGTGGGTTCGAAGTGCGCGAAAGCCGATGTTCAGTTCAGCAGTGAATTAATATATGTCCTACAATTTTCCCAGCACTTTAAAGCTACAAAATTAAGAGCACACGAGACGTAGATTAGTCACCTGGTGAGATGTTGGTGGTAGTCACTCTGTATGTCTCGAACAATAAAAAAAATGAATATCAACGAGACACAGCCAAAACTGCATTCAATAGGACCGAAATTAAAGTCCAGTCTTGTGACCGATTTTGATGAAACAAACGATTAAGTTTCCCAAGAAGTACAGTAAACATGTGATGCCGACCAAAAGTTAAAAATCATTAGAACATTTAAGTTCTGGCCAAAAGTAAATTCCTGTAAAAGATGCGTTACAATGTTAGTCCAGGCAAAAACAAGAAGTTCTACAATTTTTCTATAAACAAACTTTGTATCGCTAAAATACTTAAGGCAAAAACTTTCTATTCCAACTGAAAACGGCGTGGTAGTCGCCCGCTGAACGTTATTAATGCACTCCCCAAATATGGCTAAATCAGCTATTAACAAATTATTGACAGAAATCCTCTACGGCATCGAGAAACTGATTTACATCCGATTTATAGACAAGCACTAAATTAAGAACATTTTGCTCAATAGCTACGCATCAGTAATGCATTCTATGCCAAACTTTGCGGTTCTTAAAGGGGAATCAAGAAACGAGTCGAGCGCCAAACAACAACAAGCAGCCATGTTCGTGTCAGACATCCTTGAGAAACGTGCTCTTTCACCTCGTTCAGCGCATCAGTCTCCACTTTAAATCAGCAGATCTTTACTTATTTTGTACAACGAAGGTCTTTCCTAAGTTCCTGCTACCATTTCAATCTCAAGCAAGCTTTCAAAGTGAACAATTTGGCTCCTATGACTATGCAGCACGGTCGCTGTCACTGGTCGCGTGCTCTTTGACAAGTCAGCGGTCGCGCATGCTCATGCAAAAAAGACCCCTGTCGCCAGAGACTTAGTAAAAAATTGTTTTGAAGGCCGACGTCCATATGTCCCTTTCAAAACGGCTGGTCTACATCCGGGATCTTGAATAAATCGACTGTGTCAGCAAAGTTTACATGTAATGATTTGTGTGGAGAAAGCGAGAGTTATTGAGAGAGAGTAATGTGATGATAGTAATGTGTGGAAACATTGTGTCTGGTTGGTTGTGGATAGTTTTATCAGTGCCGCGAACGTGGTTAATTGTGTGATTTCCTGAAGTTGTTGACCGACATATTTCAGGTATGTCGTAGGGCTCGTGATTTAAGAATATTGTGTACAAGCATGGAAATGCTTTGTAAGTGTTTAGTTGAAGTGATTTTGTCTTAGATAACCGATTGTGGGGTCAAGAAAGGTGGATTCTAGGTCTGTTTTAGTGGGGCATCTCGCTATGAGCCTCATAGTTCAAGAGACTGAAAGGTCATTATGTCTGTGTTTTTAAATGTTGTTCATTTCGTTACAAATCTGTCGCTTTTGCCAAGAGCAACTTTTCGAATTTTCGTGTGTTGCCAGCGACTAATTCGTCCGTTTTAAGCCCTAAC